TGTTACACAGGTAACACAGGAAATGTAGAGTCCTGGATGACAGTGGCTTGCACATACACCAACTGCTTTTAACCCTTCAGCTGAGAAACTGGAATGTGGGTTAATGAGTTTGATGGGCCATCTTAAGATTCAAGCTAAAGAAAGCACGTGTTCTGCTGCAGACATGCTTGCTTTCACATGGAAACTTTCTTGAGAAGAACAAATCAAAAGAAAATGGGTAAAACCTGGCCAAAGCAGTTCGTTCTCAAAGTGAAGCATGAGCTCTGCAGAGTTCACCACACCCTTGATGAAGAAGAACGTTGGGTTGAGAAATCTGAGTGAGTTCAGCTTTGTTTCCAAAATAATGCTCTCTGCCTTTAATTAGAGAGATGTAAAACAGGTTGAGCTCTGCAAACAGCCTGGAAACATTCTCATTATGTACAACACAGTGGTGAATCATCACCAGGCAGATTGTAGCTCTTGTAAGAACTGCTTTGCAAGACTAGAGCTAGAACTGCGGGGGTTGTTTCCTTCGGTGGTATGACGGGCAACAGAGCAAATTCTTTGTTACGTTTTCTTTCCCTCTCTCCCTGTTTCTTTTGAACTAAAACTATCCTTTCTAAATCTGCTGCACAATTCACTGCAGTTGTTGATATAATAAAACTATCAGTCAGCAAGAACCTGTAGTGAATTGTTGGTGCCTGTGAGCTGGCAATAACCTGATAGTTATGTATTTAACTTCAAGCCGGGAGGAAAATGTGAAGTGTGTTCTTATTTGATTAGACCAGGAGAGGCACTTCTGAACTCTGAGGATGCTCTCAGAAAACAGAGAGAGACTCAGTATTTCATGTTGTTTAGAGGTGGTAGATCAAGAAAAACATGAGAATGTCGTTGTGAATGTTTTCCTATGTTTTGAACTATGCCATAAACACAGAAATTTGTATTTGTCAAGAAGGAAGTAGACTTCACATGCTGGTTTCAAGCATGACAGCTCTGTTTTGAAGGCACTGTTTGGAGCATGAAACACAGCAGGCTAAGGAAAGACTGGATGTGATGAAGTTTTGGCTCAACTTACTGCTGAGCGAGGAAGTTTATTTCCTTATATGCGAAGCACAGACAGCATTTACTCTCTGAGGGAGTAAAATCAGAAAGGCAGGAAGCTGGAGACACTCTTAATTGTGGATCCCTAATGACGTCTCTCAGCTTCCCTATGGCTGCAGCCAGCAACAGGATATTCAGAATGTGTTGAGACAGTGCAATACAAGAAGTAGTCATGCTACCTCTAAACTGAGTTAGCTTTAATAGCAGAATAATAATCCTGCATTATTACTGTATACTGTCTCAGAAAATTATTTTGCTTATAAGCAAAGCAAGCTCTGTACTGGCATGGGTGGGCCCTTTCCAGCCTCTAAATTATCTCAGAGGTCTTCTCACACAGCAGGATATTTTAGAAGGCAGGCACTTATTTTCAGCAGGTGACATCAGTAGTTGCATATTACTGCATTCACTGTGGGTAGTCTGACATTGGTCTGCTTGAAATAGATATGAAAATGTGGGTTCCTTTTGTCCATTTGGGGTAGCAGGATCTTGGTTTAAGACAAAATTGCTCAAAAAATTGCCAGCTAGGAGTTTTCAAGAGTGGATGATGTGTAGCTTCCTATAAACCCTTTCATAGTGTTCATTTGTGTTCTTTCAGCTGACAGAGGAGATGAAAAGGGGAGAAATAGAACTGACAGGCAAGTCTTACAGGATCCTGCTGGTATTCAAAGACACTCTTGCATAAACACACATTTCTTTTCCAACAAGCACATTTTAACTCTTAAACAGCCAAAACATCACTGTCAGTTTGAGGGCATTTTCCCAGACTCAGCTTGATGTCTTCTAACCTGCTATTCCCTCTGTTCCTGTTTTTGGTTTGATGACAGGTGGACTAAATCCTTTCAGCTCTCAATTGCCTTCTCTCTGGAGTTAAGTGTAATTTGAGTTGGTGTTGCACCTGTGATGATTCTTTGGCCTGGAGCTCACAGTTTTAAGAAAAGACTTTGCAATTAGAACAATTTATTTATGTTTTTGCTTTATATTAAAGTAAAACAACCCTCATAACACTGGAAGACAAAATATTTGGGACCAGATTAGCCATTATCTTGCCAATGTTTTCTGGCCAACTTAATTATTCTAATTCTGGCATTCTTAACATATTATACATCTTAGTTCTATTGGTAAAGACACTAAGCTACTCTAGCGCTCCTGGCTGGCAATAAAAAAACCCATACTGGATTCAGAAACAGTTCTTACTCAAATCCTATTGCCTTACTTGGAGCTGTGCATTGATTTTCCTCCAACATAGACTTAATTTTTTTTTCTCTTTTGTGGAAGTAAGAGTCACAAAATTGGCTGCTAGGTGATTAAGCAATACCTCCTAAAGACGTAAGCAACTTGCAACAAGCATGTCTCTTCTTGCCATATAGCCACTGCCCAGCAGGCTGGGCGTACACCTGATCTGCTTTCATACAGGCACAGCATTTGCAACACCACTTCAGGAAAAAAACGCGGGTGTGCCTGGCAGAGGAGGGAGATGGTGGCACGGGCAAGGTGCCACTGCACATGGCTGCAGCCACCAGTCACTGCCCCCTGGGCCCCCAAGCCCAGGCCATGCTCCCAGTGAGCTGCTTTGGGGAAGCAAGGCTGAACTCTGGCAGCCCACCTGCTGCCCACAGCAGTGGTGGTGGCAGCAGGCGAGATGAAGTCCCCACGTCTCATGGTGCCTTAGTGCTCTCTGCTGCACTCTCAGCCTGCTCTGGGAAAGGACACCCAGGAGGCTGGCACCTGCACACCACCAGTTGTGCACCTACCAGACAGCATCACCTCTAGTTGTCCTTGCCTTTTCACCCTTCTGCCAGAAGTTACAACTCTTGTACCCAAGAGCAGTGAGGTCACCGCTGCTGAAAAATGGCCGGATGCCCCTTTGTTTGTTGTTTCAGAGGGGAGGCAGAGAGGCTGGGGGCAGGAGCATCCTCAAGAGGGCAAACTGAGCTGTGGTAGTACGAGAAAGTCCTCTTCCTGGTTGCTTCACCTGATACTCACCCTTTGAAACTCTCCTTGAGGTGCTGCCCTCACACCTGCACCTCCACATTACACATTCTACCTCTGAGCCTCCAGTAAACTCTCTGAGAGGAGAGTTTGGGCTAAAGTACCGGGCTATAAAATGACATGTAGGTACAGCTTCGCTATCCCTTTCAATTTTCTCAGGCAGCTGTCTGTTCACAGGAAAAATACTACCGGCGAAAAGCCCTATAAGCAGACAGAAACTTTTTGGGATAAGGAAGGAAAAGGACATGACATAAAACTGAAAATATAACGTAACAGCTAGAGTGAAGCAGGGATCATAAAGCCAGGGCTGGATGGTGAAAAGCAAACAAAAAGGGAAATTTGTTGTGATGAGATGATGGGAAGAAACGTAGATCTGGAAAATACCAATCCATTTTTCTAGTCTAATAGCAGAGGTGCTGTGGGGCGAGGGGGCAGAGAGGTTGAGCAACAAGGTATCGCTCATCAGGGACTTTCATGCCTGCTTGACACTGTCCGGGGGTAAGGTAGGACACTTTGCATTTCATTCCTTGCATGCTTGAAGCAAACAAATTGTCAGAGTAATTTGGTATCAAAAACCTTAACTCAGTTCCAGAGGGGATATTTACTGAGCAGTTTGCACTGTCTTTGTATTGTAATTATTGTCAGAGTTACTTGGGATGTGATAATTTTTCATATCTGCTGCTGTATATATTTGGTTAGAAGCTGACAGCTTACAAATGCATAGTGCAGGCGACAGCTCAAGTCTGTAGGTGCCCAGCAGACCTCAACTGCCTACTCCACCTACATACACAACTGAAAGCGTCAAAGTGAGATGTTACACTCAGAATAGGAGACACTTTGATCTCTTTGATCTCTTGCCCTTTAAGACCTAAAACACTGAATAAATAATATTTTTACAGTTTTATGCTAGCACAATACACTTTGCTCTAACATGTCATAACATAAAGTTATATAAATTGAAAATAAAAATATTAATATCCTGAAGTAGCTTCTTAAAATGAAACAGCTCTGACTTTTGATCAAAAGCAGAAGTCAAATCTCCCTACAAAACAGATACCAAATCTTTAGCTCCGTTTAGGACATAGAGCTAAAAAAAAATGCTGTAAAGGCAAAAGCTACTGAATTTTGACATTTATGAGCTATTACCATACCTTTAAGTTTACGTGCCAGAGTGGTAGTGTTTGTACAAACTTTTTTTTTTAAGGTAAGATTTTAATTAGTTTCAGGGACAGTCTAATTCTCCTTGTCCATGCAAATGTTACTGGGTTTATGGCATCTGCTAAGGTAATGACATTTGTTATTGAAGGAGAGTGTCCGTTTCTACATCTTTACAGTAATTTTTGTCTTGATTCTTAATTGCTAAATCTTAAGAGGAAGCTTGCACACAAGCCTTGTTGTATTCTGTATGAGAGGTCAACATTTGCATTTTCATGCATTCTGCACTTCAGAGAATCAGAGAATGTCAGGAGTTGGAAGGGACCTCGAAAAATCATCTAGTCCAGCCCCCCTGCCAGAGCAGGATCACCTACAGTAGGTCACACAGGAACGCGTCCAGGCGGGTTTTGAATGTCTCCAGAGAAGGAGACTCCACAACCTCCCTGGGCAGCCTGTTCCAGTGCTCTGTCACCCTCACAGGGAAAAGGTTTAATCTAATGTTTTTGTAGAACCTCCTATGTTCCAGCTTGCATCTGTTGCCCCTTGCCCTGTCATTGGACATCACTGAAAAGAGCCTGGCTCTGTCCTCCTGACACTTGGTGAATGATTTCTTCTGGAGCTAAAATATTTGCTTATGAGAGGAGACAAAGCTCCCATGCTTCTTTTCTTGGCAGCTGACCTGCTTTTCACATTTGTTTAAAACTAACTTTTTGTTATAAACCAGAGAAAAACACTGCAGAGGATTCCCTTTTAATGTATCTTCCTTCTGATTTCAGCTTGGGGAAGAGCTGCTGCTGCCACGTACCTGGTTGGCTTTTTACTTCTAGTCATCTGTTTTGCTCTGGCCATCATAGCATTTGCCATTGACACCCTTCGGTTCAACTTCATCCGTGGGATTGGAGGCTTGCTTTTTGTCGCTGGTAAGGCAGCAAACAAAGTCAAGTTTAAGTTGTGCAGGTATATCCATAAGAGAACTGGTATTTCCCTCAGCTAATTCTATACTCAAGTCTTTGCCTGCGTGCACTTGGGCTCTCTGTGAAAAATAGTATAAAGTCTGCCAAGACGGTGGATTGAGTTTAAAATCCTCCAAAACATGGGTGGGTTTAGCTACAGGTATTACAGAGGCGGGCAGCATGATGGCTGTTAGCTTAAACATTTTTTGTTTTCTCCTGTTTCTTCAGCTGTGTTCTCCATTATGGGCCTGGTCATTTATCCAGTAAAGTTCTCAACTGAAATTGAAATGACGGGAATCAATATGTTCAGCTGGGCCTATGGCTTTGGCTGGACCACTGCCATTATGGAAATATGCTTGGGATTCTTCTTCTGCTGCCTTCCTAACTATGAAGATCAGATCTTGGGTAACGTGAAGCCCACATATTTTTACTCTTCCCCATAAGGAACAGGAAAATGTGTTTGTACCCCAGACATATCTGACATTTTCCAGAATATTATCGTCAGATGTTAGTAGACAAGGCTGGTAACTTTTTGAATGCGTGTAGAAAAATGGTACTGGCATTCTGCAATAAAGTTGTCTATTCTATTTTGGACCTTCAAATCTGATGTAAGTTGGTTAAGTAAAGTCTAAACGCTAAAAACCCCTTGTGTTTCCACACTCACTCCCATGTGTGGGGTGTATGTAAATTTCATTTAATTTTAAATGCATTCTTATTTCTAATTAAGTTCAAAAAAGCTTTTTAAACTGCCAATAAACAAAACAACATATATCATCTTCCTGAAAGAAAGTAGCTCACAAAAATCCCATTTTGTATATATCACCTTTAACCTGAAGATTTTGCACGGTTTTCAAGGAGCCAAATACCTTTATTCACCGGCTGCCAAAGCAGTAAATTAGTCAGCCAGCACTTCATAGCTTAGCTTCCATTTTTCATTCATTCATTCATTCATTCAAGCCATAAGGACAGGGTAAGAAAATGATAAGAGAAAGCCCCCTACTAGAACCAGCATCTTGACTTTCACTCATCTATGTGGAATGTAAGTATTTGTTTCCAAATATTTGTAAGAGTGAGCAAGGACCATCAGTAAACCCTTAAAAAACCTGACGTGCCATTCCTGGGGCCAGCACAGAACAGGCAGAGACAAGGCAGTGGGGATTCAAACCACCCCTATAACCTACAGACCTAGTTTGAAGAAGCTCCTGGTGTGGCTTTCTTTGTGGGTGTTTGCCTCTTATCCAGTGTAGAAGAGTCAGGAAGGACTTAAGCAGAGGTATGATTCCCCTGCACATTAGGGGTTAAGTGTGAGTGTAGGTATCAAACATTTTCATTGTTTTGCTGTTGATAAGCATTTTAAATTGGAAAGTGTGTACTGTTGTACATAACTGTAATACACATAAATACCCCTTACCATATCATACTAAGGCTTTCATAGAAAATCACATCATAAACCACCTTTCACATCTTATGCTCCATTGTGCTGTGAGCCTTGATATATTGCAAGCACTAAAGTATACTCAAGAATCTGCTGGTTTCTGCCTTGTTCATCCTAACTTTATAATGTTCCATTTCTCAAGTGAAAAATTGGATATTTTTTTCTGTGTGGAATGAGAAGTCTCATCAAAGTCCTTAGCTAAGGAGGATTATTAGCTTGTAACACATCTGCAATTTTGTAACTTTGTGCACTTTATTAAAAGTGTCCTATCAAATGTTCTTTACTGCAAAGAATGAGAGGTAGAAAAAATCCAGTAAAACCTCTGTGTAGCAAAAATTAGTATAGGCACAGGACTTAAACTATTTCTTTGAAGCAATTAACTCCATTCACTATTATGGAATGTCTTTTAACTTTGATCAATAAGCATGAGAGATGTATCAGACCACTGGGGAGAATATATGAAACATGGAATTGTTAGACAAAAGGTTGCAAATACATTAAGACAACGTTTCCTAGGTGGAAGGAAATCAAAATGAAATCAAGTTGAGAAAGCAGTTTGTATAAAATGGCTTGCAATTCTTTATGTAATACTTTCTGTTAAGGAAAAAAAACCCCATAAATCTTTTCTTTATGCTTATTATACCTAATAAATGATGGTATCTATGTATTGTTTCAAAAATGAGTCTTAGCCTTTGTTGTCCATTAAGAGTGGGGAAGTGTGGAAGGCCCCAAAGCCTCATCTTCTCAAGAGAGGCTTGGAGCCTTGGAGCTCCACCTTGGAGCACCTGGGTACTCTGGCTGGATTCTGAGAGGGGTGAGTAACTTAAAAATCCTTCATCACAACAGTTTATATTATTCTTCAATCCTATTCTGGCTGTGTCCCGAGGCCTTGTTCACAAACATGTGAGAATAGTGGACTTGTTTGGTTGTGGGCTCTGTGGTGTCAAGTAAATATGCCCACAATTCTGTGCTGTAACGCACATTTTGGCATGGAGGGTAACACACTCATGTTCATTAAAATAGGAAGCCAGTACGGTCCAGCTCAATGTTTTTGCTCCAATGGATGTAGCAATCCCCTGAGGAAAAATGGAGCTTGAGCAGCAACTGATTCTATTTATAATTTCCTTAACACTTGCTGGACGCGGACCCAACATCAGGAGGTGGTGGAAAGTGCACAAAACCAAGTTCAGGAGTATCACTCCAACTTTGACGAGAGAGCAGAATATAATTAAAAAGAAAAGAAAATGACCAGTGATCATCCCCCTTCCTCCCTCCTCTCTTGAGCTGCTCTCAACAGCTTCAACATCTCTCTCTCCTTCTCATCCTTAAGGTGACAGAGCAGTGTCAAGGCCAGTGGCTGTGGCTCTGCAGGGGGCAGCCCTGGTCCCCACTCCCTACTACCACTTGCCCCTTCCCAGGAGAGAGGAGGAGAGAAGAAGCTTTGCAGACTCCAGGAAAAGCAGCAGGGATCCTAGTCTGGCTCCCTGTTGCAGGACCGCAGAGGGAAAGGCTTTCTTTAAAAACAGGAGTGGGTTGGATGGGTAGCCAACAAGCAGAAGCATCACGGGGGCTAGAGCTCAAGTGCCTGCCTTTAAAATAACTTGCTTCCAGTCACGCCAGGTCAGTTCACCACAGATCTCTAGAGAAACATGTCCTAAACCCTGTGGCGCAAAAACAGTGAGAAAAAGTGTAGAACTGCTGTACAGATCTCAGAGCTGTTTCCTGTGATTCCTGTGACACAGGAGCATGGCAAAAGCAACGTGTTAAATATGACTGGTTCTTACAGTAAAGGAAGCTGAGTCCAGAAGCCAAGGATGTGCCTCAACTAGATTATTAACTAACCAGGCTATCAGCTAGCTAGATTATCAGCTAAATGACTAAATTGATCTCTAGCCAGGTCAAATAGATTATCAACTAACCTAACTGTTAGATTGACTTGAGCTAAGGCAGAATCAGAATGTTTGGATTTTCAAGCAAAGGAGAAATTAGAGGAAGAGAAGACTCCCGTTTACTTCTGCATCTCTGTTTGACAGGGTTCTTGCTCCAAGCCTTGTCTATAAAAGAAAGAGGCACTTAAACACTAAAAGCAGCACAATAAAAGTTTTATTGAGCCCAATAGTGATGCTAAAGAGAGATCAGGAATGAACAGATGTCCACAAGATTTGTCTTTCAAGAACATTAGGTCTGCCACCACAACAGAGGTAAAATCTTGACTGTGAAAGGTATTGCTGCTGTTCCTGCCCAATTAAGAATTAGGGAAATATTCTTCACCGGAGAATTTTGTCTAATTCAACTATACTACTGAAAAGCAAGGGAAAAAATGTGCTGAAGACAAGTGGAATGTCAAGCAGCCCTGCAGGGTACAAATGGAAGGTAAAGAAATAATGACAACTTTCTACTGGTAAGTTATTATGTCCAATTTAATTTCTAGTGTTCCTACCAGAGCTTGGATAACGTGGACATCTTGATCTTTTCGATTTTCTCTGCAAATATGTTCATATTTCACTATACCTATTTCAGGCATGTCCCATTTAGTCTTAAAATACAGCCTGCTTAATCAATAATTCAAATACAATCTAGTTTGCAACTGTATTAAAGTTATGCATATCTTGTTGTATGAACTAATTCTATGAGTTTTGACCCCATTGACATCACTTGCAAAACATTTATTGATTTTCTTGGGGCTGACATTTCATCCTTGAAGCACAAAGCCTTTTTTCACATGTGCTCAGGATCAATAGTATCTCTATGGGATGCTCCATTGATTTCAGCAGTTCTGTTTACCCCAGGCTGTACAAGGCAAGCAACAAGAATTACAGCAGACAGAATCATTCCCAGAATAAAGGATAATTTAGTGTATGTAAGATTAGGAGACTCTGGGTCACAATTAAATCACATTTTATTAGGTACACAGCATGGTCACTGTAAAAAGATTAATCTTTCCTTTTGACACATCTCAGTTGTGCAACAGCTTATAATTAAATTTCTTGGAACATTTTCTTGCACATTTCCATGTTCAGTGGATTTCTGTGTGTAGATTTAAGAAAAGAATGATACAATCACCTTTGTGATAAGGGAGAACAGAATTAGCCATTTGTACACTCTGTCAGAATGTGGGAATCTAACTGTCTTTCTAGAAGGACAATGAACTGAACAACCAAAGAGTTACAGTTCTGAGTCTTATGAGAAGTTCAAAACTGAGAATTGAATGACTGCTACATAGTTAACAATTGGGAAAGAGAGATTTCCTTTAGATTTGCTTTTACTAGAAATTTTGGGTTCAAGAAAAAAAAAAAAAGTTGCTCTGGTGCAGATGCATAATAATGTCTGGTCCTAAACTTTATCTGCCGAGTTCTTCAGTGCTAAGTGCCAAAATCTAGAAAAGCACCTGGGTAACCTTAAAGTTGCTGATGGTTCTCATGGGGCCATCAGAGCTGTTTATACAGATGGTTCTGTAAGTGACTCTACACATTAGGGCTCATATGCCTATCTACATGCACTGTTTAATTCCATGGTTTTCCTGTATATGAAGTCTTGTAATAAAGTTTTTCAATTTTACTGTTCATTTTTTAGGATCTGAGTGAAAATGTGGATGCATCATAGAATTTTGCATGTGACTGCTGGATGTGAAGAGACTTTACAGGAACAAGTTTCAAAATAGCTTTACTGTTTGTGATAGATGTGCTGAGAGCAGATCAAACTGCCCTCTCTTGGATGCCTTTTATGACATATCCTTTTACTTGTGCCACTGTTTGTCTAAGACATCTGTTTTCTGTAAAAACAGTTTTGTGAAAACTGACTCTAATGATCGCATCATACTGAAAATAAATTCTGTTAGGTATCCATGTAGAACCCATCATAAAGCACTGTAAATAGCCCTTGATTGTTCAAGTGCAGTTCAAAGACAGAGACATGTTGGCTGCAGGATTTTTTGTCAGAATAGCATGAGTCCCAAAGAAGCAGATTGACTCAATACTGACTATAAACATGAGTTACATGCCCAGCTCCACATTTCTTACAAAGTAACTAGAGCCTTGTCCTTAGCAAAACATCAAATAAGTAAGTAAAATACAAACCACAGAAACAGTGAAGTAAAAGTGATACACAACAGCGGGCACATACACACATACTTGGTATCACCAATTAGTCTGTAGTT